GAGCACGAGCAGGGGGAGGGGCAGAGGGAGAAGCAGACTCCCCACCGAGCAGGGAGCCCAATGCGGGGCTCAATCCCTGGACCCTGGGATCATGACCCGAGCCAAAGGCAGACGCTCAACGACTGAGCCACCCAGGCGCCCCTGACGTGGGATTCTGGGCAAGCCTTTTTTGGTAGACTGTTACGTGGGCAGCCCCCAATGAGCCGTGTTTCCAGTATGTGTGCCCTGATGGAGTCCCCTCCCGTGTTGGCTCTGGGTTTGGCCATGTGACTTTCTTGGGCCAACAGGACATTAACACGCGTGATGGAAAGCAGAGGCTGAGCACCTACCTGCAGGCTGAGGTCTGTCTGTCCTCTTGGGATGCTCTCTCCAGGAATCCAGCTGCCATGCTTGGGGAAGCCCCAGCTAGCCTCGTAAAAAGGTCATGACGTAAAGGACCAGCCAACAGCCAGCACCAAGACCCCAGGCACATGAGAAGCCCTGTTTGACCTTTCAGCCCAGTCTAGCTGCCAACTGATTATATCCACGTGAGAGACCTCAGCCGACACCACCTGGAGTCCAAGAACCACCCAGTTAATCCACAGAATCATGAGAAATTATCCTTCATTCATTATCACGCAGCGTTGTTTGAAGCCACTAAGTAATAAATAACTGAAACAACATTTAACATTCCTGAGCCCCAGCTGCCTCCTCCATAAAATGGGGTGATAACATCTGTTGCCAAAAGTTATGAGGAGTACATTTAAGACACAGTGAGATCATTTGCTGAGCACCTGCTGTAGTTCAGGTACCATGGTAGACACCTTGTATACGGAATTGGAAGCATCTCAACTGCAGAGTACCTCCGGGCAGTAGGTACTGTTTGGCTCACTTTACTGGCAAGGAGCCTGAACTCAGAGGGGTTCACTAACTTGCCCATCGTGGTGCATCTAAGGTCAGAGCTGGGACCCTACCCCAGGTCCCTCTTCTAACCACGATGGCCCAGCAGGGCCTCCTCCAGGGAAGCGCCAAACCTTCCTGTATTTCAAGAACTCTCTTTGTCAGGTGATTGGAGGAGGGAGGCAGGGCGCATGCTCACCAGGCTGGCCTCAAGCAAGCTCATGTCTCCTTGAGGGCAAGTTAGCATGGCTTCCTTTGGTGGCCAGTCCTGTGCTCTCAGCACTGCTTCTGGGAGCCCTGGGTTACAAGGGGTGACAGAGTTCAGAGCAAATCCATTTTCACTTCTAGGAAAGCAGCTAATGGGGGTCAGCAGCTCCACAGTCACAGGCAAAAGGCGGCTTGTTTCTCAAGAGGCATGAAGTGCCTGGGCCACGGGTGCCCTGCCCCCACCACTGGCGTGCCTCAAGAAGCCTATAAGCCAGCCCATTTGTCCCCCCGTGAGTCCCCTAGACACACACACACACTAAACCATGGGGGAGGGGGCGGCTGTGGGGACCTGGCCCACAATGGGGTGGGGAGTGGGCCAGAGGCTGCTGCTGGCCCAGGCTGACACCCTCCCTACCCTCCCAAGAACTGGTGAGTGACATTGAAGAGGGTGGTGGAGGAATCTCCCCTTGTCCTCACCCAAGCTGAGAACGACCCTCTCAACCCCAGAGGTCCAGGAGCAACCATGTCCTGGGTGGGCTAGGGAACCCCCCCCAGCTGAAAAAAACCCACAACCTCCCCATTTCCTTGATTCCACCCATCTTACTCAGAAAGCCTTTGCCTTCACAGCCTCCCTTTCAGAAGTGCTCACCCATGGCTCGGTCAGTTAAGCATCCGACTCTTGACTGCGGCTCAGGTCATGATCTTAGGGTGATGAGATCGAACCTGAGTTGGACTCCACGTTGGATGTGGAGCCTGCTTAAGATTCTCTCTCTCCTCTCCCTCTGCCCCTCATCCCTGTCCCCACCCGGCTCACGTGCAGGAGCACACACACGTGCGTGCGCGCGCACACACACACACACACACTCTCAAATAAATTTTTAAAAATGGAAGTGCTCACCCATGATACAATGTGTGTAAAGAGCAGGTCTGAAAGCATATTGCTAGAGTGATCTCAACTTTGCTTAAAAATTACATATATTTGGGGCGCCTGGGTGGCTCAGTCGTTAAGCGTCTGCCTTCGGCTCAGGTCATGATCCCAGGGTCCTGGGATCGAGTCCCACATCGGG